AAAATACTCTAAAATTGGCAATCATGGTTTCAAGACATTTCATGAAAATTAATTCACCTCAGCTTCCCCAGAACATAATGAGACCCCGGACCCCTCATTTACCACTCAACAAGACACATTAATAATTTTTTCATTCATTTGAAAAGTTGTGTGTGTGCGGCCAACTCCTGATTCCAGTTCCCAAATAGCAGGGCAGAGGGCCTGGCCTGACGGTTGCTGGCTCTTCCTGGAAGCCTGGCAGGAAACCGGCATCAGGCGAGGTGAGCACACGAGCCCCTCTGCTATCTAGATCCTACACATCTCCCTGTGTGTGTGTCCATCACGTGAAGGAAGGCTTTTGCATAAAATTTCTTTTAGACTTAAGTAGTAGGAAAAAGATTTGTTTCTTTTGAGAAACCACTCTGCTGGTTCTTATAGGGTACCAAAACCAACTAGTCCTAAATTGGTTCCTTTTTACCTCTGACTTCCAGGAACCTCAAAACCAAATTCTGACTATGTGGGGCTTCACAGCCTGCATATATGCAAGGTCTGTTTTTTCCTTCTGGCTTTGACATTTTTTTCCAATTAATATTTTTGTTGATATTGATTTTTATTTTAGTAATTTCCTATAGGCTGAAGCAAATTCTTTGTGTAAAGACTGGGATGTAAACTAAGAACCTCTTGATCTGACCAACTAAAAGATAATTTGCACTATTTAAGGTAAATACAGGTGGTTAAAATCTCAGCATGCTACAAGAGAACCTTTAACAATCACCTACCACTCAGTAACTACCTGGCTTCTATTACTGTCAACAGGTCTCCACAGGGAGTCCCTCTTTCCTTCAAGAATTGTCAGAATAGATTACATTAGAGAGATCACATAGAAAACTTTACAAACTGTCCAAACAGATAACATTAGAGAAAGATCCTTTACGATACTTTAGTATCAGCATAATTAAAACGCAAGTCTTTGACAATTTTTAAAACCAACAAGTCTTCTCAACACATTAACAACTGGGTATATGATAAAAAAACTACTGGTACCTGGGTTCACATGCAATTTTTACAAAAACAAAATTCAACTTCAAACAATAATTATAATTACATCTATATCTGAGACATGTAAATCAGATTTAGAAATGTCCATTTGGCTTTTTTCTCTTCTATTCCCTCCCTTGCCCCTTCGTCCCACAAATCAAAGTTAAACATTAACTTACTTGTCAGATCATCTAATAATTGGCACCTCAAATCAAAATACTCCATACACTGAGATAATAGTCTAAAAAAAAGAAAAGTTTCAGTTATTTTAAAAAAGGCTGATATGAAAATAGAAAACATTCTCCTTGTAAGAGCAAGGTCATCAAAAATTTAGCAAGACAATTTTCCTAAGCATAAAATAACTACTTTTCTATTAATTCAAATTCTGTATTTTTTTTTTTTTAAGAGACAGAGCTCTCTCTGTCACCCTTGGTAGAGTGCCATGGCATCACAGCTCACAGCAACTTCCAGCTTTTGGGCTTAGGTGATTCTCTTGCCTCAGCCTCCCAAGTAGCTAGGACTACACGTGCCCGCCACAAGGCCTGGCTATTTTTTGTTGTTGTTATTGTTGCAGTTTGGTCAGGGTCAGGTTTGAACCTGCCACTCTCGGTATATGGGGCCAGCGCCCTACTCACTGAGCCACAGGCGCCGCCCCAAATTCTGTATTTTTATAAGTAGTACATTAACAATTCTAATGCAGACACAGTACAAGAATAATAGTATAAAGAGAGGGCAACTTACTAAATCTATCACATTTTAAAATAACGTATGCATTGACTGTGGACACAGTACACTCACCACAGTCATTCATTTAAATATCAACCAAACCTACTAAGCACCCACCAAATGCCTGAAACTATTTGAGGGGAACAGTGAACAAAAGAACAAAGGAGACAGCAAATAAAAAATATACACATGTCAAGTGGTGACAAGCACTAAGAAGAAAAACAGTGAAGGAGAGAAGTGATAAGGTTTGTTTTATGTGGGACGATCAAGGAAGCTTTCTCTGCAATTAGAGTCATTAACAGCACAGGTGTCAGAATCAGACAGAAATTGGCTAATTCTGTTTCCTGGCACCACTGCATACAGCTGGGATTCTCCCAGACAACTTATTTCACTTTGCAGTTCTCTAAAAAATCCTTATTATAGTATTAGAAATAAAAATGCATGCATATATACAAAAATACATACAAGGCTCAGGCATGGACTAATGATGAGAAGCAAGAATTATGGCTACAAAAATAAAAATAATAAAATTGCCAAACTTATTAGACCATCCTGAGGATTAAAATATAAATAATACATGTAAAGAAGTAACTGGTGTTATCATCGTCATTACTATTGAGACAATTATGTTCCAAACTTGGGCTTTAAGAACAGTTATCAGATATAATTTTCAAAATTATGCAAACACATAAAGATTCAATCCTATAGGAAATTAAATGTATCTATATTCAACATACAAATATTTTTAAAAGAGATTCTTTGAAGAGTATATTGCAAAAATCTCATCTAACTCTTTCCCAAAGTTTAGAGAAACTTAATATTAAACTCTTAAAATTTAGTTATATTAAATTGACGCTTACAATGACACACATAACAGTTTTAACTTCTGTTTGCATGGCAGGCAAAAAGTTTTTATTAGTAGATAGAAGTTCATAGTAGACGGAAGACCCCTAAGAAAGGTGTGGGTCTCTTCCTCAGAAATGAGAAATGACCCAGTTTTAACTTCTTAGAAAATGGGTTAAACATTTCAACTAAAGACTCATTAGTCTTTCAAATAAAAGGATCATCAGTTCAGGAAAATTTTAACTAGGTAAAGTTGGAATTATAAAGCAAAAAATGTAAGAGGGCAGAGAGCTAGTGTCTAATTCAGGTTAAATCTTGATGGTAAACTGCAAAATAATTTTAAGTGTTGGCTAAATGTGTAACATTTGTAAGTTACCCACAATAATCTTATCTCAGAAATCAGGATCTTCACTTCTTCCTTATTTAGACACTTGGAATATTAAAACTGGCTAAATGCTTCAAAATAACATTTATGTAGAGGCTTAGCTATATGGGCCAGAAATCTCCATATATGAATAAGTGCGTGAGAACATAACAAATCTTGATACAAACATTTAATCCTATAAGGAAGACTAACAAACAACAGATAAAATCATAACTCACAGAGAATTCTATAGGTTACACATCTTATATATATATAAAAAAAGATCTTTTAAAAAGTCAAGGATAGATGAAAGAAGAAATTACAAAGGAATTTGAGACAAATTTAAAAACAAAAACACAACATAGTAAAAGTTACAGGATACACTGAAAGCAGTGATATGCAAGGGAAAGTTATGGCTAGAAATGCTTATATTAAGAACAAGACAGAAGCCAGGTGTGGTGGCTCACGCCTGTCATCCTAGCACTCTGGGAGACTGAGGCAGGAGGATCCCTTCAGGTCAGAAGTTCTAGACTAGCCTGAGTAAGAGTGAGACCCTGTCTCTACTAAAAACAGAAAAGGAAAAAAGAAAGAAAGATATCTAATCAACAACCTACCATTACAGCTTAAGGAACTAGAAAAAGAAGAACAAACTAAACTCAAAGCTAGCAGAAGGAAGTAATGAAAATTAGAATGGAAATAAGTGAAATAGAGAATACAAAAAACCCCAATGAAACCAAAGTTTGGTTCTTTGAAAAGATCAATGAAATTGACAAACATTTAGCTAGACTAAGAAAGAAAGAGATAACCCTAAGCTTACTTCACTCCTAATTCAGAAATGAAAGTGGGGACATTACTACTGAATTTACAGAACTAAAAAGGATATAAGAGAGTACCAGAAGCAACTATATGTCAACAAATGGAATAATCAATACGTATATGGACAAATTCCTACAAACACAAAACCTGCCAAGATAAAACCAAGAAGGAATAGAAAAGAATAAACCTGCAATAGCAAGAAGAGCAAATCAGTAACCAAAAACTCTCCAACGAAAAACCCCCCTGGACCAGATGGGTTCACTGGTAAATTCCACCAAACATTTTAAAAAAGAATTAACACTGAGTCTTCTTAAGCTCTTCAAAGAGGAGGGAACACTCTCCAACTCATTCTGTTGGGAAACTTCCTCTGTTTTGCATTACCCTACAGCCAAAGCCAAATACACAGCAAGAAAACTACATACAAATACTGATGCAAAACCCTCAACAAACTGCCAGCACAGCCAAATCGGGCAGTACAGTGAAAGGGTTAAATGCAGTGTACTCCAGCCCTGAAAATCAATGTAATACCACAGCAACAGAAAGAAGGGAAAACCCAGAAGCAGCATTTGATGGAATTTAACATCCTCTCACTGGACAGACACTGGACAAACATGGAACAGAAGGAAACTACGACAACCTAACAAAGGCCATATATTAATAAGAAAAGCCCACAGCTAACATCCTCAGTGAAAAACTAAAAGCTTCTACCCTAGGAGCAGGAACCAGAAAGCAAGCCAGAGGGCCGTGCCAGTGACCTCCAGACAGGGAGCTATGAAACATGTGAGCTGAGAAAGTGATGCGCAGGAGGACAGGCCGGTGTGACCGGCTCAGATAGTTCTGGGCTCTCTCATCAACCCGGTGAGCGGCTCTTTTTGCCTAGGGTAGGTGGCCCAGATGGGGTGGAGCGGGACTAGGGACAATGCGGAAGCAAGCCTGGCAGTGTTTCTTCTAACTCTGCTGCCTGACTGGGGTAAAAGACACAAATGCCCTCTTCCAGGCCCCAAATAGCAGAAGAAAGAAGAAATTCTTTTACTATTCTCAATAATGTACCATGGACTTTAGGGAGCAGTGTTATTTATCCTCATTTTTACCACATACCTCTGGTTGACTCCTCTCATGATACTCGTTGGGGACCAGAGAGGCAGCTGCGCCGTGAGAATGACGCCGAGGAGAAACTGGTTTGGCTTCTGCACTTCTGGATGTGCTGACGTGTCCGTCTGACTGAGAGTGTACAGCTGATCACAGGCAACCCGGCGAATCTGAAACGACGGGGGTAGTGGCAAAGGACGTTTATCAACCCACATTTAGAGACTGCTTAAAAAGTGACATTCTTCCAAAGGCCACATATCTGCTTGCTCAAGTTACTGAAGGACACCATAAGGTACGAGTGTTTCAGTTTGGAACGGTACAGTTTCCACTGGAGAAAACTAGGGCTCATTAAAACAAGTGTGGTGTGGGAACTCATTTCCCAAATTACTCTACCGTTCTACTCTAATCAATAGGTTTATAACTTAACGTAAATGAAAATAAGAAAGTGGTTAAAAAGTTAATCCTCACGGTCATTTAAAGTCAGAATTATACAAGCTAACAGAAGTTCATGGTGTGAAGTTGGTCTCTCCTGATTCTAACTAACATTTGATGCTTAACACCAGCTGAATGTGGGCTGGAATGTTTTGATTGTTATATACAAACATGAATTAACTGTAGCACAAATCTCCTATCTCCTGGTGGAATGTGGAGGAGGGAGCGGGAGGGAGGGCAGTACAGTCCACGGGGTCGCTGTTCCTTCCGTGGTCTAGGACCCCTCTGAGACCTCCCTGAGAAGACTGTGCCACTCCTGTCCTCCCCACAATGTCACAGGGATCTGAGAAAACGCAGCAACAGGACCAAAGGAATTTCGTAAGAAATGTAAGAAATCCTTACCTCAGCACTTGGTGATCCCAGCAGAATATCAATGATAAAATCAGCAACACAGGGCAAGTTATAGAAAGATGCTAAGAAGAACGAGAATCGGGGGGAACTAAGTTAGGTAATGCATTTTCAAAATTCTGATGAATTTCTTCAGCTTACGCAGAAATTCATCCCTTCTACATAGAATCAAAATTTAGAACCTTCTAGAACTGTTTCTATGTCTGTTCACTTATTTGCCCCATGAAATCTTAAGGTGCTCATGAAAAGGAACCACGTCGCGGCCATTCTCGTGCCCCGTGTTTTAGCCCAACACCTCACACAGGGTGCTTAGAGAGTAAATGTGTCCTGCCTTGATAAACAGTCAGTACTTATCTACTATAAAAAGGACCCTAAGATACATTTACAAATGATAACAGATTAAAAACTCAGAGAGAAGTTATAATTTTTCCATCTTGATTTGAAAATAGCTCCAAAATAAATAATTCTAGTGATATGAAACTAACTCAGCAGCTAAGAGCAGGGCTCCTATGTGCTGGGACACTTCTCACACGGGGACTGCTAAGATGCCATCTCTGAACATGCCCTGGGGAAGGCTGCTGTGCATCAGGCAGTGCTTGGGGGCTGGAGATTCAGCAGGGAATGAAATGGACAAAAGTCTCTGTTCTCACGGAGCTAACGATCTAGTTGGGGAGGGGATGATGACCATCAAAATTATAAATAAGTAGATTATATTGTATCTTATAGATATGATATATTAATAGAAAAAAGTAAGGTAAAGGTTTTGGGTAGCGCTGGGGCAAAGAGGGGGCTGTAATCTTTTTTAAAAGGAGATCAGGGCACATCTCACCAAGAAGATGACATTCAAGTAAAGCCTGGTAGGAGATGAGTAAGAGATCCATGTGGACAGACAAGCAAAGAAGATTCCAGAAAGAGGAACAGCCAGTGCAAGGGCCTTAGGGCAGGAGTGTGTCCTGGATATTGGGGTTTTTGTGAGGGGGCCGGGCAGCTGAGAGAGAGGGAGAGCAGGGGAAGCAGAAGGCACAGAAGTGTCACAGGGTGGACTGCACCAGGCTTGAAGTCCTTAATAAAGATGGGGCTTTACCGCTTGGTGAACTGAGAAACCACCGGAAGGTTTTGAAAGAGGACTGATACCAGCTGACTTACAATTTAGAAAGTCACTCTGGTGAATGAGCAGAGAATTAACTGCAAGGGTGGAAGTGGGGATTGGTCAGGGCGCACTGCTACTACCAGGCAGGTAGGAACGATGGCTAACTGGGGGTGCTAACAAACAAGTGGGCACTAACGGTGCAAAGTGGACAGAGGCTGAAGAAGGATGTGCTGACCGATTAGAAATAGGTGTGAATAAAGGATACCAAGGATGAGCCCAAGGTTTCTGGCCAGAGCAACTGGAAGAATGAAAACTGCCTTGAACTAGGTTGAGAAAACCCTTAGGCAGGCATCCTCAAACTACGGCCTGCGGGCCACATGCAGCCCACCTACGACATTTATCTGGCCCGCCAGGTGTTTTTGCCACTGTTGCCTGTCCTGCTTAGCAGCCGACTTGTCCTGGGGTCTGAGGGACAGTGAACTGGCCCCCTGTTTAAAAAGTTTGAGGACCCCTGCCCTTAGGTGATAGGGGGCAGATTCAGGTCAGTTCTGGGCAAGTGAAGCTTGGGACATCTATCTGATACTCAAGTGGAGATGTCAGGAGGGTCATCCAGGCTACAGACTCAAATTTAGGTGCTGTCAGTATAGAGACTGAATTTAAGGTTATGAACCCCAGATTACTAAAGCCAGCAATAAATATAAAAGAGCAAATCTTAATTTCACAATTTTTTTTTTTTTTGTGACAGGGTCTTGCTCTGTTGCCCAGGCTGGAGTGCAGCAGCATTATCACGGCTCACAGCAACTTCAAACTTGGGGGCTCACGCAATCCTCCTGCCTCAGCCTCCTGAGTAGCTGGGACTACAGGTACAAACCACTGGCTATTTTTTTTTAAAGTTCTGTAGAGATGAGGTCTCACATCTCTGGAGCTCAACTGATCCTCCTGCCTCCCCCTCCCAAAGTGCTAGGATTGTAGTAAGAACCACTGTGCTCAACCGAGTCTCTCACAGTTCTGAATGCCTCGGTCATCTTCAGGTATTGGTGGTTAATTCTAATTCTGTAACTTGGGAACTAGTAAATGGAGGTTACTTCCTCAACTAGCCTGCAAGCTCTGGAGTGTAACATACTGCCCTGGCAACAACCAGTGAGGAACCCAGTCCAGAGAAGGTGCTCAACCCAGGCTCCCTCGGAATGGACGTGCGCGTCATTCTTACCTACTCCGCCTGCCAACTTCCCCTTCTTCATTTCTACTGACAGGACCTCGTCTAGAAGCGATAACTCCTAGCAGAAACCTGGCCTTTCCCTAAAGAGATTAATCACAAACAGCCTCCTGCATACCCAGCTGCTGGCTCCGAAGCTGCAGGCATGTAACAAGGAGAGACAAAGCCTCTCCCGCAATTAGGGAGTCTTTGGTGGACACGGACTGCTGTCGGACGCAGATGCCCGCGTGCAGGGCCACTGGCTCGCCTTCACTCCCAGAGCTGCAGTTGCTCCCTGAAAACAGGCAAGCAGAGCTTACTGTGGATTCCACGGAACGGTGCAATGTCTGAATATCCTGTTAATGTATGTTCCAGAACCCTTGTGTAACGTTTCATACTTCAAGAAAACACTTTAAGAAACAAGAGAGATTTAATCGCTGTATTTGAAACATGCTGTTTTTTCTTAGAACACAGTTGTAGGCACTCAAAATATGTTCACAAGGCAAGTACTTATCTCTAATTTCAAGTGATGGAAGTAACAGTGCAATTTTAGGGGCATCTGGGAGCCTTCCTGAAATATTAGAAATATTCCTATCTTGTAACTTGATCCAGATGGGTTACATGCATACAAAATTCCTAAAAATCTCACACTTTTACTGCCTGTATTTTATGTTACAATTTTAAAAACTTTATTTTTGAGGTATTTAGAAACACACTAAGCAGAAAAACCAAACAAAGCTGAGAAATACAGGTATGTTAAAAAGGTATTACACTTTTACACAGAAAACTACTCGCTGAGCTCTCCCTGTTTACTCCGTGTGTGTAAATGCTTTAGTTCTTAAATGAAGTGTGACACACACACGGCAATGTGCACAAATGGTAAGTGTGCAGCTTGATGAGTCTCCTCTCTGCGACTCGGATAGACCTACCCATACATAATGCTCACAGTTATTTTTTGCCCAATGTTCTAATTACTGTCCCTTTTTAATCAGTACCTGAACTGCTGAGCCTGTTTCGAATTCCAGCAGGAAACAGGGAATTACTTTCTTTAATTGGCTGGCTACTCCCAACGAGGTCAAGTCGTCCTGCAGCCGCTGCCCATGACAGTCTCATGAAACAAGCCACGGTGGAAGTGAAATCACTCACCTCCATGGTCTAAGGAAGCAGGGAAGATGGTGAGGAGAAAAGACAGCACTTACAGCCACGCCCCTGACCTCTGTAAGCTTCCTCCTGGTCCCAATTTTGTGAGCCTCTTTTCCCTCCAAGATCATTCAGAAGGACAGCCCTTCTCATGCTACCATACTGTTAAAGACTCGGAGCATCTCTCTGTGATCTGTGACACCCAGATTCTCATCTCCAGGCTGTGCCCTCAAACTACCCATTATTAATTTGTTTCACTTTCCCCTTTCCCATCCACTGTGCTTTGGTCCACAGAGCGACCTGTGTGACCCCCCATGCGAGCTCTGGTCTTGTCTCTACCTTTGCATATGCTGCCCACCCTTTTGCTTGCTCTCCAAGTGCTTATCCAAATATCTGATCCATCGAATCCCGTCTATTCTTTAAGGCCTAGCTCAAATGCCACGGAAGGTGAAGGAAATTATTATTTTTTTTTCTTTAGGACAGAGTCTCACTCTGTTGCCCTGGATAGGGTGCCGTGGCGTCATAGTTCACAGCGACCTCAAACTCTTGGGCTCAAGTGATTCTTTTGCCTCAGCCTCCTGAGTAGCTGGGACTATAGACACCTGCCACAACATCCAGCTAGTTTTTCTATTTTTAGTAGCGATGAGGTCTCACTCTTGCTCAGGCTGCTCTGAAACTCCTGAGCTCAAGGGATCCCCGGGGCCTCCCAGCGTGCTGGGATTACAGGCATGAGCCAAATCCTTACTCTACTTACTTCAAAGCCATAAAATGTTTTGCCTTTGTAGTTTTATAGCACTTGATACTTTCTACTTAAAATTATCATTTTCTGTGGTAATGATTTCTTTCTTAGTTATCATGTATTTCTAGACGCCAATATTCGTGTCTTAGTCATTTTTATACCCACATAGATCCTCTACCCACGAGGGGTATTTAAGTAAGAGGTACTGAATTTTTTGAACACACCAATCACGTACTTGTATTGCAACTCGAGCAGCAGGGATGATTTCCTCAACCCTGATGGAAGACCTGTCAGACACTGACAACTGCCGGTAGGACGACTTTTCTGGGGTCCCACATAAGGACATCTGTCTGCTTGTTTGCCGGCTAACATTTCGGAACGGGCGAGAAGAAAGTGCTTCAATTCCATCTTTGGTGAGGTCTTCATCTAATAACGTGGGCATTGTTTGTCCAACAAGTAAAAACCTTAAAAAAGAGAAAGCTACATTTATTCCATACTATTTACGATGAGATGATTTGAGAAGAAAACCAAAATCAAGCATCACCTTACAAGATGAATCCATTTACGTACCTTGCGAGTTGTAGGCAGATAGAATAAACACCCTGCCTTGTTTCGTAGTCTACTTCCGATGGGATGGAATCTCTCTGCATGACATTTACAACCAAACTTCGAAGAAAAGAAAAGAAAAAAGGCCAAACATTAATGACTTCTATTTCTTTTTTTTTTTTTTCCGCGGTTTTTGGCCGGGGCTGGGTTTGAACCCTCCACCTCTGGCATGTGGGGCCAGCGCCCTACTCCTTGAGCCACAGGTGCCGCCCATGACTTCTATTTCTTTCAGAGGAAATTTTCTATTAAGTACAGTAATATAAAGAATCATAAATATTATCAATTACATATAATTTCTACAAGATTCTTACATGTATATAGATTCCACATATTTTTATCACAATGATTTCCTATGATACCTGATCCATTCGAATTAAGACTACTAGCTTAGGCCAAAAGGTACCCGAGACAGTTCACTGAACAGCTGCCATCTTGGTAGTAGAAGTACTATCAATTCAAAAATGCACCCAGGACTGACATAGTTAATTAAGAGTGTTTTCACCCCACAAGACCCTGTATTAAGTGCAAGCTTCCTAACTGTCCTCCTTGCTTCTACTTTTGACCTTTCACCTCCCAAATCTGTTCTCCAAAAGATCACCGAGAGTGATCCTCTAAAAACACAGGTCCGATCAGGGCGCTCCTCTGCACAAGCTTCTTCAGCAGCTGCCCCCGGCCTTCACAGAAACCTCTAAGACCCGACCAACCCCACCTCTGCTGTCGCCACAATCTCAGTCAGGTCCCAGGACCCCAACACTGGCCTCCCGGGGTTTCCAAGGCACCACGGAGGTGCCCACTGGGGGATGTGCTGGCCGCTCCTCTGGAAAGCTCCCCCTAGGTCTGGCTCCCTCGTCTCCCTCAGGTCTTCGTATCAGGGAAGCTGGTTCTAGATCACTGTACTGAACCGCCCTCTCCATCCCGCAGTCCTTCCCCTTGTCCTTTTCTCACAGCTCCCGGGACTGTCTGACGCACACGTCACTCACTCATCGTTTTGTCTCCTCTCTAGACTGCGTTGTGTGGGGACGAGGACTTTGTCGGATTCACTCCCTGCTCTGTTCCCAGCGCTGCCTTAACATCATGTCAACGAACTGACATGAGCAAATAAGCCAAAAATAAGACGCCTTTATTATCAGAGCCCTGTGAATGGGTGAGTGACCTGAAAGGAGGTTTTAGAGAAACACCTCTACGGCACTGACAAAGAATCAAACTCCACGGGTGCCAGACTGTCCAGCCAGGCGGGAGTCCTTTGTGGCCCGTTCCCTGTCTCTCCACCCGTCTCTCTTCTCTTCCCTGCCACTCCTCCGCAGGAACTCCTTCCGGCTTTCAGTGGTCCCCACTCCTCCTCCCTGGGCACCAGCCCCACATGCTGGAGGTGGTGGGTTCAAACCCAGCCCTGGCCAAAAACTGCAAAAAAAAAAAAAAAAAAAAGAAACCTCCCTACTCCTCCTTCCTTCTAGAGCACTTTTTAAACTTCTATTCTTTTTTTTTTTAATTGAATGGTAACTATGTCCATTAATGTACTTCTGGGGTACAGAGTGGGGTTTTCACATGCAATCTAAACTTTTATTCTTTTTTCCCTCGCTGGCCCCGGTCAGCCAGCCTATAAGAGAACCACGCTGAAACTGAAGCAGAAAGGCCAAACTGCCCTTCAGCTCTTCTTTCCTCCCACCGCCCAGCCCTCCTTTTTTTCTCACTCTTCTGAAAGCAGAGATGTCTACACACGATTCTGTAAAACCCTCCCCTGACACGCAGCACTCAGCGGATGACACCCTAACAGCTTTACTCACACGCTCCCAAATCTCCCAAATCTCGGTGCCGTTCTCCACTGCTCCCCTGAGCACTATGTGCAAACACCCACTTCCCACGACTCCCAGGGCCTCATCTGCGGCCAGAGTCGCTTCTCTCACCTTCCTCCGCCTCCTCTCCTTCCCACACTGACCACTCTCCGCTCAGCCTCTCTCCCAAGCTAGAAATCACAGGGCCATTTTATAAGTGTCCCCCTCTACCTCGGGAGTCACGGAAACGTGCCCACTTTGCTCTGTAACTACCGTTCTGTCCCCACTCCTCTGGACCACGGCTGCAGCTCTCAGCCCCTCTCCCTTCCTGAGCTCTCCCACTTACCTTCATCCCTGTTGCAGCCGCCAGCGAGATCGTTCTAGGGAATTCCTGGCTTAGAAACGGCTTGTTGTCCCATCATACACGACAGTGCTGAAATTCCTCAGTGTGACCTTTCCTTACCTGTTTCTCCCTTTCATCTCTGGAGCTGGCCTCCCCAGGCAGATGTCACAGGCCATGCTGTCACTCGTCCTGCCTCCCCCTCGTCCTCACATCACTGGGGGCTTCTTGCCATTTGTCAATTCCCACCTCAAAGGCCATTTGCTGGGAAATACTTCCTAACCCATGACCCTAAGCAAATGGATCCAATTGAATTCCTACTTTCTTCTCCTGTTTTACCCCAGACACTTTTTTAAAAATTAAATCATAGCTGTGTACATTAATGCCATTGGGGGTACAATGTGCTGGTTTTATATACAATCTGAAATGCTTTCATCAAACCGGTCAACACAGCCTTCACGGCATTTTCTCAGTTATCGTGTTAAGACATGTATATTCCACACCTAGTAAATGCCACATGTACCCTGTAAGATGCACCGCAGGTGTGGTCCCACCAACTACTCTCCCTTCACCATCCACTTTTTATATGCCTCTGCTTTAATATTTAATAATATGGTTATCTCGCTGTTTGTTGTTCTTGGTTAAACCACGAGCCTATCAAGGGCGACGGTAACATCTAATTGATCTGTACATCCCCAGCACTAAGGCCTTACACGACACGGACTTACAGGGAATTAAATTCACCGTATTTCTAACTGATGGGGGACAGCAAAGTTACAGATACAGCCTTCTTGCCTCTCCTCTTTTTCAGAATTTTCCTCATTACTGGGGGAAAAGAGATGTGCTCCTGTGAGTTTTTTTAAACAATCAAAAGTTATGAAATGAATTAAAATACTCTAAAGGCCTGGCACATCATTCTTTCTTACAACTTTCCTAAAGCTCCACATAATCCCTGTAGGAACAAGCGAGGCTTTGAAGGAGAAAATAACTAAAGTGAGCACCTTCCCTTTTCAGCTCCCGCAACATCACATTAAAACTCTAACCTCAAGCCTCCTGCTCTGAGGAAGTTCTCACAGAAGGATTTGGCACAGCTTCTTGCCATGTCATCATCCGCGGTTGGCATGAGTTTGGAGCTGAGAACCTAGGAAACAGATGAGCACAACTAACTATCCCAGCATTTCCAGCAGGGATTACTTCTTTACTAAGTTAAACCTTCAGACAATTCAGACATTCGAGTTAGACTCCCCTTAAATGTTGAATACTGTCTCTCCCCACACACATGTGTATGGAGACTGATGTTTCACAATTAAAATAATCCCATTTTCCATATTCTATTTACTGAGGAAGACAAATCTTGCTGTTCTCAAGAAAACTCCTTTTCATGCAACTGGCGAATGTGAAAGTCCCAGACCCTCAGATTTAGATAAGAACAGCTAACTCTCTGTGATATACTAGCGATGTTCTTTAGGAAGTACATAAATCAAAGTCTTATAAAATTGCCTGTAAGTAAAAATGCCAGGAGAGTTCCCTAATGACGACTCTCACTCCTATTTACTGAGGATCTACAGTGTATGGGCTGTTCCTTTGCCTTACAGGCGAGGGGACTGAGATGAAGTGATCGCCCGCATGGTTACAATGCCAACCGAGATGTGTCTCACCTTAACACCAGGCCCCTTCTGTGACTCTGCAATACCTACCTAAGCAGAGGTCAACTGACTGCACTGGCTGGGCAGAAGTTCACACAAACTACAGTGCAAGCCTACAGGTCTAGTCCACACTCTCCTTCTGCCACCTTCCAGCTGAGAGTCCTTAGGCATGGTATCCCTCCACCCTTTTTTTTATAGCCACAGGGTCTTGTTAAGGTGCTCAGGTTGGTCTCAAACTCCTGGCCTCAGGCGATCCCCTCACCTTGGCCTCTCAAAGTGCTGAGCCTACAGGCATGAGCCACCGTGCCCAGCCCTAATTTTCTCTTTGCTTCAGTTTTCTCATCAGCTAAATGAGGCTTGTATTACCTTTACCTGAAGGTTTCCTGGATTAAGTAAGATAATATGAAGTAAAGGTACTTAGCACAAGCGCCAGCACAAAACAAGTGTTCAGTAAACAACTGCTTAGTTACATGTTATGACTCAAAAAATTTAAACACATTTTTGCCCTGGTTTTAAACTAGATATAGTTCAATATCCTCTTCTGCTTCTATGAACCTATGGGTTTTTGTAAGTTTAGATATTTAATGTGAGATTTTTGATAAAGCTGCTTGCTTCCAAGGTTGCTAGCAGGGACGCAGGCTCACCAGCCTTGGACACTGAGCATTACAGGAGAAGGGGAACCCTGGCTCTGCTGAGCCTTCTGGGAGTACGCAGCTCTTCAGCTCCCATGCTTAATCAACAATTCAGTGAAGATGATAGGTCTCTTCCAAGAAATGGGTATCCAGAATACCCACTTTGAAGTTTCTTAGTGCACAAATGTTAAGTTAGGGAGCAAAATACTAAGAAATTAACCTCTCAGGTGACAGCAAAAAAGTAAGTTCTTTAGGGAAGGTTATATCTTCCAAATATTTTGTGTGTACTAAAGTAAAACACAACCTATCAAAGGAACTCACAGTTACTCAGGAGTCCTAAAAATTATACTGGAGCTATTAAGGTAGCTGATGACAAGCTAGACAAACTAGGGGACCACTGTGTTTTTCTAGGTGCTCTCAAATGAGCATGTTAAAAATTATACCTTAACTTTGAGCTAATCATTCAAAAGCCAGTCACAAACCTGGCAGCCAGTTCACAATTAAGCTTTACATAAGCTTCACTTGGCCAAAAATTTCTAGGCAATTTTCTGTTTTGGAGTATTCCATACATTTTTAAATGTCCATATTAAATAAGAACATGTTTTATTTTAAAAATATTGGCTAAATATATTTTCCTTTTGAACCCAACACATCTTTTCACAAGAATGATTGATTGCTTTAAAGCAAATATGAAATGTTACCGCATCTTGGACATATAGATTAACAAGTGGAGTAGGAACATGAATGAGTATAACTACATCCTCCAAATTAGACTGTCAGGTGAAACAGAACTTGGGAAAACCTGCAGGTTCTCTCTTAACAATTATGAACTTTGTGAACTCAAGACGCGTGATGTAATAGCTAAGGTGCTTAGGCAATAATACGGATTCTTTAATAAATAAGTGCCTGGACATACTTTCCTAGGACAAAGCAAAATCATTCGAGCCTTACTGTACCTGCAGGTTTACTGGATTAAAGTGGCACAACGGTCTGACCTACCAGTTTCCAAGAGCAAACTGTTTCCCCTTGGTAACTTTCTTATGGTGCTTTGTTAAAGCTTGACTTTCTGGACTGAGTACATTCAGCTTCTCCTAAGTCTTATTCATAAAATCTTGGAGTAAATATCTCATCTTTTCAGACCTGACCCCTTAACTACCACAATGACTTAAAGGTAGTAAACAGTTATTAAATGTTTACTGAACTCAATCTATTAGCTTAAAGCTACTTTTGAGGAGGTAGTTACAATGGATCGAATGTTTGTGTTCCCCAAAGTTCATCATTTTGAAAGTGAGGACACAGTGAGAAGACAGCCATCCATGAGCTAGGAAGCCAGCCAGCACCAGACACTGAACCTGCTGGAGCCCTGCTCTGGGACTCCCCAGCCTCCCCAGCCTCAGAACTCTGAGAAGTAAATGTTTTCTCTATTAATTTATGACAGCAGGCTGAAAGGATGAAGACAGTAATAAAAATGATTCTTTGCTCTAGTTCCTCCAACACTATTTTTTTAACCTTGAAATAATACTAACATGATTCCTGATGAACTCCTCACAAAGCTTCATGAACAACAATAAATTATAATAGCTTTTAAAAAAATCAGGATGCATTCAGTCAAGAAGCTGAGAATTAATAATTCATAGTACACAGAAACGCAAAACTTCCGTGTTTAATACACTGTCTTTCCTAATTATTTATTTAGATGCTATTTTGCAAGTGGAACAACATACACAGGTATAAAATGAAAATAATCAAGCATTTTCAAAGGTAAAAAATAGCATCAAATTATGCTCTATTTTTTAAAAACCCATTCTCTAACAGATCTCTCCGTAATAACAGAATCTTATTTGTTTCTGATTTCTAAAAGCATGAATCTAGAAACTCAAATGGATCTGTCAGAATGAAATGCAAAGAAATCAGCCCTCTTACTTCTAAGTTGTAGAGCACTCTGAAGGTGGACATTCCTGGAGCAAAGGATCGAAACAGACTTTCTAGAATTGAACTGGCGCTGGGCTGGTGCTGTTGCTTTGAAGACAGAGACGGAGATTTCGAAGACTGAGAACTCGACTCAGACAGCAGTGTTTTCTAAGTTTAAAACAATGAAAAAAATAAAAACACATCTTCAAAGCACAAATTATAGAGAAATAGACCTCAGCACATATTCTAATACTTTTTAATATTAAAAACGAAATTTTCTAAAAATTAACTTAATAAAACCACATCATTCCGTGGTTTAACAAAACATCAACTTCATCGTACAAATTCTGAGTGTTAAATGATATTCAAAGTAGTATATGAAGTACATGAATGCTTTTGGGAATATAACCTAAGCAATCCTAGCTAGGTCATTTTAATTTATTTCTGTGTTTAAAGTTTGTCTTCCTAAATATTGATAAGGAAATTATAAGACTGCTGAAGTGGTAATCTTGAGAATTTTTTTAAAGCTAACACTAGTGCTATATATATTTTATAATTCCATTATTTCTTTTCTTCCTCAAATTAATAAACCATAAATATGACTGAGCTGATCTAAATTTTAACCACTAAGATACAAATCACAAAACTTAGTTCTAACAACTTTTTCTAAATGAATTTATTCTGAGACTACATTATGGAACACATTCTAAAAATGAGACAAAATGAACTTTAAAAATCAACTATGAAAAAAATAAACAATAACCCATTTATATAAGCAACTCAGCATTTGCAACAATCAAATTCAAAAAGGAATCACGACTGAAGAAAAACATCAAGTGAATTGGAACTCAAGCCTGGATCTTGAACAACGAACTTCATCTCTCTAGGCCTAGGTCTCCTAACAACAATTAACCTCATCTCTAGGCCTAGGTCTCCTAACATGTGATGTGGGGGGGTGGGAGAGAGGGGGTTGGGGGGAGGGGCAGAAGTACATTAAAGGCTTGTCCAGTTCTAGCATCTGATGTCAGTATCGACTCTATATAGATAATTCAAAAGTCAACGTGAGGCTGTGATCTTACTTATGTATGGCAAAGGTATTTTCCAAAAGAAGAAATGTGCTATGGAAAGATAGTATCATAGTACCGTAATGTGGTTTCAGGTTGTATTTTCACTGAATTATGACACAGAATTCCCACGCTAGTTAAATAACATCAAAGAGACTCTCAAACCTTTCTTCCTAGAGAATCCAGTTGATCAAGAGCTTCCTGGATGGCTGGATCCGTGGGTATCAAGAGCAGAAGCTTTCGTACACGTAGAGTTATCCTGAAATTTTTCAAATATAAAGTTTTTCATATAAGCCACAGTTTAATGACAAAGTAATTTGGTATGGGATGGAAAGTAAAATACATTTCAAGGCAGTGGTTCTCAACCTTCCTAACACCGCGACCCTCTAATACAGTTCCTCATGTTGTGGTGACCCCCAACCATAAAATTATTTTCATTGCTAATTCATAATTGTAATTTTGCTACTGTTATGAATCATAATGTAAATACTTGATAAGCAGGAAGTATTTAGGGGACCCCTGTGAAAGAGTTGTTTGAACCCCAAAGGGGTTGTGACCCACAGGCTGAGAACCGCTGTTTCAAGGGAAGCACTCCTTAGTCTCTAACCTTAGCAATTTTCTTTCAGGCCTCGCAAATCTCTCTATTTACCTGGGCTCCTCCAGATTGGCCAGCTGGTAAAGCATGTCAAACACATTGCACACGAGAGCCATCACGACACCAGGGAGGGATTTCTCCTAAGGGAGAAAAGCAAACACAGATTCACATTTACAAAAAGAACCTTCCCCTTTTCTCATCAGACTTACAGCCAGTAAAAATACAAGCTCTGAAAGGCTGGCCACTATGTAGCCCGAGGGGGCGCAGCGCCCTCTGCACTGAGGCAGCCGCGGGTGCACTGGATGCGGGCCCTGCCTTCCAGGGGGCAGGCCTGCTCTCCGTCTCCCGGCCACCTGGAGGATGAAGGTGCCAAGAGCTGGCAGGAGCTGAGGGGAAAGCACAGGCATGTGAGAGGAACCTCAAACAGAGTGGGCACCACCCTCCGGAGCAAACCAGGCGATTTGAAAGCAAAAGTAAATTAGCGTTTTATACATACACATTCACACACAACACAGAGGCGTACGTAACTTGACAGGAAGCTACCCTTTATTTTACTAAAGATCAGAAAAGACAAAATGAGTATTACTGCATAGAAGAGGTTCAGACGTGATTAAAGCACTTCTGATTATACACGTAAGAAGTAAGAAACCAGACACCACGTACGATGCATCTGTACATGGGAAGAGTTCTATGAATTCAGAATAAATATAGGTAGCTTAAAAACGCTAAACCTAAAGGTTGCTATTCACTGTCATGCCACTACTTAGTGTTTAGACTTGGGTCCCATCCCCACGATACCTCATTACATCTACGCGAATATTCCAAAAGTCCTAAGGGATCCATACTCAGCCTACACTGAAACTGAGGAGTTCTTCGATATCTACAGCAAAGTTATGCTGTGTAAGAGAAAAAGACCATCGCACAAAGACCTTACATTTGGAATTAAATTTAAGGAGCATATATAATAATCATCAAAAAAATCTCTAGTCATCTTTTAAATACCTTAACTTCATATCAGCTTGCTTCTAGACTATAAAAGCCTAAAGAGCAAAACAGTCTTACAGTCTTCTTCAGCTTTGTAGCCCTGGAGTCAAGCTCAGTCTTGACAGAGGAAAGGTACAAAATAATTTGACCGATTCCTGAAGTCATTCGAATACTAAGCACCGATCACATCCCAGGCCCTGTTTAGGTTTGGGAATGAGGCGGTGAATGAAACAGACAAAAATATGCTCCCACGGAACTACTTACTACAGACAAACAAGATGCATAAAATAGATCACATGTTTAAAAAATAAAGTAGGTAGCCGGGCACCGTGGTGGCTCACTCCTGTAATTCCAGCACTCTGGACAGTTGAGGTGGGAGGATGGTCGGAACTTGGGAGTTCCAGATGAGCCTGAACAAGAATGAGACCCCAGCTCTACGAAAAACAGAAAATTCAGCCGGGTGTGGTGGTGGGCACCTGTAGTCCCAGCTACTTGGGAGGCTGAGGCAGGAGGGTCATTTGAACCCAGGTATTGCTGTAAGCTGACACCACAGCAGTCTAGTTTGGGCAGAGCAAGACCCTGTCTCAAACAAAACAAAACAAAAATAAAGTAGGGAAGGGAAATGAGACGTAGTATAGGAGTAAGAAAGGGTGGGAAATGGAGACAGACTGTGGAACAGGCGCACTGAGAGGCAGCAAGTGAGTGAACGCTGAGGAAAGTGAGAGTGGGCCGGCTGGAAGTTGGAGAGTAGTCCAGGCACAGGGAAGAGCCCGTGCACAGGCCCTGCTGTGTCTAAGGACCAGCCTGGAAGCCAGGACGAGTGGAGTCCAGGGAGGGGAGGTCACAGGAGATAACCTTGGAGAGGTTCCAGAGGGAAAATCAGATAGGCCCTGAGGGTCCCAGTAAAGACTCTGGCTCTTATGCTGAGCGCAACCGGAGCCACTGGAGGATTTGAGCCAAGGAGTAGCATGGTCTGACTTGTGTTTTACATGAGCTGCTGGGTACCCACAGAGAAGAGTCTAGAATGGTGTTAAGAGCAAAAGCCATGAGCCCAGCTTGGGCACTACTGAGGTGAGAGATGACGTTCGCCCTAGAGCAGCATGCAAGGTGTAGAGGTAGAGAAAAGCAGCTGGATTCTGGATTAATTTTAAATGTAGTGTCAAGAATTTGCTGACAGATATAGGTGTGAAAGAGGGGACCCAAGGAATTTGGCATAAGCAATGAGCAGACTGGCAATGCTATGATTCGAGACACAGTGAGACAGTGCGAAGAAGGGGCCCAGGGTGGGGCTGAGGTGTTTGGAAAGCAGGAGCTCAGTTTTGGATAAATTAGGACATTTAAGAGGAGATACTAAGTAAGCAGACAGACGCATATATTTGAACTTCAGGCTAGAGGTAAAAGGTGGGGAGTTATCAATGCACATATAATACCATGTTTCCCCCAAATAAGACCTATCCAAAAAATAAGCCTTAGCAGGATTTCTATGCATTTGTTAAATATAAGCCCTACCCCAATAATAAGACCTAGTGATGGGCGTGGCTATGCAGCGTATCTGTATACCCATGCCCTACATTTTGGCACAGAGTGGTAAGGAAGCCTGGAATATCTTTCATCTGCCACAGCTCCTTTCTCGGAGCCATTCGCACTTGTGCGGGTATACATGTGGTAACCTCTGTCCCAGGCATCCTATTTCGCATGTGAGAATGGCTAGGGGAAAGCAGTTCACACATCCCTAGCACCAGCCCCACCAACAAGGTCGGCTCCCCTATCAGGTTCCAGAAGAAGATGACTTAACTATATTTGAATAAATGTAGATTGTTGTATTATACTTCATAAAAATAAGACATCCCCTGAAAATAAGCTCTAGTGTGTCTTCTTGAGAAAAAATAAACACAACAGTGTCTGATTTTTGGGGAAACATGGTACGCAAAGCTTTGCGACTGGACGGGATTCCTAAGGGCATGGAGGGACTGAGGAGAGCTCTAAGAACTGACCAGGGAACGGCTCCATGAGAGATCGTGGAGAGAAATAAAAAGAAGCAGGCAGAGGCTGGGAGAGCCAGGAGAGTCCTAGCAGCCCAGTGAGGAGAGCAGGTCAGAGGTGAGAGGTCACATGTACCAGCTCCTCTGAGGCATCCAGAAGATGAGGACTGGGAGGAGGCGACAGACTAACTTGAACAGAGCCCAGCTCTTCCAGGGAGGGGTCAGGAGAAGACAGCAAGAAAGAAGCTGCAAACAGCTCAGGCAACTCTTTCAAGGACTTCTGCTGATTTGAGAAGGAGAAAATAGGGCTGTAATGAAAGGTGGGACTGGGATGAAGGGGTTTGTTCCTGAGGGCAGAAATAACACAACACGCTCGAATGCTAAAGGGAATGCCCAGTAGAGAGAGAAAGATCAATGAATCAATGAAGAGAGGTGTATGAGAATGACTCGGACGCAGGAGGTTCCAAGATTTAGAAGACGATAAATTATACATCTTCTTTTCCCAGCGTTTCTGTTATACTGTTCTGAAGAATCGGTACTTGTGCGAGAAATAAAGGACATAATCCACATCTACATGGGCTGAAGGCATAAAGATAATGACTGTGAAATTCTTGTTTTTAGATTGAGACGTATCACCCAGTACCTGCTCCATGGCATATGAAGAACTAAAAACTCCACTGCTGCTGCTGCCGGAGCTGGTTGAGGAATCTGCTGAGCTCCCAGATGGGGTCCCACTGCCCGAAGTCTTTACTGTGAGGACTTGCTCATCAGAGAAGCCCAGTTGGTGGAGGAGCTTTTGATCTTTATTCACTGTCAGCTGCAAAAAGTGATTTCTTAATTACTGAGAGGGAAAGGAAGAAGAAATTACTCATATCAGGATAAGAGTCAAATCGGATCCATTTATTATTCAGAAAAACTGCTCATTCAAACCTACCAGGCTATCATTTGTAAATATCTGTATATTATCCACAGGAGAGCACAACTGCTTGGCTATCTTCCACCGGACGCTCCCTATGGTCTCATTACTGTGAGCCTGTAAAACAGAATTTTACACCGCTATGAGAGAATCCGTTCACCTACTGACAGTGAGCAGCTACCACGTGGGCGGCATTCGGGCAGCTGCGGACGCAGCAGAGCCCGAAGACTAGCGTCCTGCCCGGGGGGCTGTCTTCTGGTTCCCTCCCCACACGCGTGAGAAGACGTTCCTAGCTCTCCTTCCACTCCCCAATCCCCTGCACTCTGCCCACACCAGCCAGCTTGATGGTCTCTCTACCGGCTACTCCCTTTGCCGGGAATTTGCCTGCAAACATCATTTACCGTCACTTTACTCAAGTTTGTGCTCAAATGTCACCACCTCAGAGAGACCTTTCCTGCTCATCTTTACCTTAAATACTTCACGCGCACCCATCACCCTGCGTCCTATTAGCTCAGCCTGTGTTCTGATCACCGTCTGATATTATGTATTTATTTATATGCTTATAGTCCATAGTTTCCTTTCATTTCAGATCATTATTCTAAATTTGTTTACCAAACAGCTTTAAGACTCATCATTCATGCAACTGTCTTAATCAAGACTGTTCTTATGAAAATAACAAGATAAGCAGCAAGGAAGTGGCAACAGAGCTGAACGTGAACCCACCTCGACAGTGAAGGTATCTTTGGTAGACTCATAGGTAACATTAAGAGTTAAAAGATGTCCATGAAATGAGGCACCATGAGGTAGAATAGTTCGCGGAACAGAGTAAAAATCCTTGAAAAAGATGTAAGAGACACGAGTCAGATGCACGGTGCCACTACGGAGCATGTCAGAAATAACAGGACATCACATTTTGTCCCATGATATGACGAATGAAGTTGCTTTAAAAGGAAAAAAGGCTCACCTCTATAGTGATCACATAGCGCTCTGCCAGGAGCAGCAATCTCTCAATTATCACAAGTTTAGTGGATCTATGGATTTAAAAAAAAAAAGTTTTTTTAATGTACTCGAAATGAATTGCTGATCTGAGCTCAATTTTACTGTTTCACCAAAACCACAATCATAGCACTCGCTGGTCACAGGCTGAAACCTGCTAAGATTGAATTTCCGTCTCGCTTAGTGAGGGGAGGTGGTGCGGCCAGCCCGCAGGTGTGGTGCACAGACGGAGTAAGGAGGAGAAGCCTGCCCACCCCATGCGCCTGCCCTGTTCTTCTTTCTTCTTTTGCTTTCTCTAGACAGTCACTCCATAAATAGAAGACCTGGGTTTCCAGGCCTATCTGTTCAGCAAACCATCAATGAGGAACAATCAGTGAATATGACTCTCATAATCTTATAACTAAAATATACCACAAAATTCTATGAAATCTGACAAAGTTCTGAAATGCCTAAAAATTACAAGACAAACACAAAGCAGTAAGTATACTACAAATACAAACTGCTGTTCCTAAGTGACAAGTCTGTGTTGGTAAAGGATCTATGGAATTGTATCATCTGTAACAACAGGACTGTAAAATCCCACAGCTTATACAGTCACAGTGCCAAACTACATGTATTAACATTATGAAATGGAAATTGAGGAACCCCACTCAAACACAGATAGTTTAGATATTTTAAATAGGTATATTACTAAACCTGAAAAGAGGAACTACAAATGTATAACAATTGGCCTGGAATGCTGATTAATAGTACTGAAAATTTCACTTTAAAAACAACTGGTTAAACACATTTTAACAGTTCTCTGAAATATACTTATCAGAGTTCTAAATTCTTCTGGTTTATGGATAAGAACTAGAACTTGAAATTCAGATGAAATATCTTTAGTGCTATAAGAAGTGAGGGAATTGTTGAGTGAACTGTTTTAATTATGCCTCAATAATGAATTAAAACACTGGAAAGATGGGAAAAGACACCTTTCCCCATGAATGGGAACAATTATGAATATTGAAAAGTTCCTTCACAACTAGTGAAATGAGATAAGCTACATGTTCTTGTTTAAATTCAACTTTGAAATTACACATTCTTATTAACACTATTTCCGGTTTTTAGTAAAAATATTTTAAAATTATGTGTTTTTTCTCTGGAGTCACCCAAATATGAAATGATCCAGAATCAAAAGCACTTAGTTAAGAGAAAAAAACTAAAACAAAAAACTACACCCATTTCAAGTTGCAGCAATTTGACAGCCTCAATCCAGCAGCCCATAAACGCACTTCTATTCTGATTCACGAGATAGACAGATCACTGGGGAACTGAGTCACAGAGATAGACAGATCGATCAGACCTTACAAACACGTTAACTCGGAACTGACTTCACATTCTTAGTGGAAGTCTGTTTGAGACATAGTGCCAAGAACGTGGGCATGTGAAGTCAGGTTAGCGTTCCTGCCGTGACTTGAATCTGTAATTACTTCTGCCATTTGAAAATGAAGCCTGATAAGGGCTGAGCTCTGCTGCCTTCCTTCATATTAGTAGTATGCATAGTGACACAGTATTCATTTTTAACAAGAAGGCAAAAAAATAATGTGGGCAAGGACCCTTTGCCTTTATTCCTCTTTTAAAGCAAGGCTTTGCAAAGCAAAGGAATATCCCTAATTGTGAATAAAAATAAGTAAATTTTACTGTAATTCGAGTAGACAGAGACCCTGAGAGTACCCACCACTAGAGGGCAGCAGAGGAAGGTACACAGAGTAAGCCCTTCCCTGAGGACCTGCCAGGGTTTTTCCATCTGGGGCTGCTAACTGGTAAATAAAGGCTCGAATTTGTATGAGCACAAATGTAGTTTAATTACTTCAATATAATGTTCTAAATATGCATTGTTTCTCCTCACTATACGAAAGAACTATAGGAAATACTAAATTCAGATTTCACTGATAATATCTGAAAACTTAAAACAGCACTCTGAGTAAGAGATACTGTCAAAGTTTTAAAACAAATATTTGGGGATAAAATTCTCACTAATTGATAGTTTAGCAGACTATGATCACATTATAATGCACAATGGATTTCACTATTCAAAGGGAAAAGCTGTAGCTAGTTAGTAAATATTTCAAACTTGAAAAAAATTACTCCACGTACAAAGAACACGTTTATTTCATCCTAAAGAGTTGGTTACTCATGCTACACAGAATAAAAGTGAAATGAGTCAAATGAAAGCAACAAGAACGCCTGTCACTGGGTAGAGGGGTAGGGACAGAGCCACACTTGGGTGGTTCTGCTGATGACCTACATACAGATTTTCAAAAGCACAGATTTGGGAGTACATGATGAAGAATATATAATGCCTAGGATACTACTGCTTGCAAAAATCATGATTGTAAATGAGGAAATCAATAATTGAGGGACCTATATAGGGAAAAAAGATACTAATTATGTTTTTAAACTGATCTATATTTGCGTGTTATGTATCTCCCACATCCATCATCACTTACCTATATGGAGACTGAACTGATGTTGCTACAGTGGGCATGGCGGTTGCTGTGAGCATTTTTGTGGCTCTGGTCACTGCATGCGTTAGAGTAGGGCCACCAAGTGCGGAACTGGCTGCCTAAAAGATATGAAATAATTGTTGTCTATTAGGGTTTCTCAAGCTGGACTCTGCTGACATTCCGAGGTGAGTAACCATGTGGTAGAGTGTTGCAGGGGACAGTGCCTTCTGAGCTGGGTGACCATGTGGTAGAGGGCTGCAGGGGACACTGCACTGTGAGCTGGGTGACCATGTGGTAGAGGGCTGCAGGGGACACTGCA